TGCATGGGATTATTTTCCTACCTTCTTCGAGAATAGAAGGAACAAGAGTATTTATGAAAGGTCAAATAACAAATTTAGGGATCAAATGATGTGTTGGAGGACATACCATTTGATCATCCATCAATTGAAATCACAGATGCACTACATTGGCCAGGTCCAGCCGTTGGATTGCATATAGTAATGAATCCTGCTGCTCCACGGTATTTAATTTGCACGTAGCAATTCCTGCAAATTAATTAAGTTGGTGTGCACATTTTTTATGTAATACGTTTCAAAACTATATATGCCTCAATTAATTGAGTTCAGTTAGCTACAAATATATCTTTAGTCATGCTATGAAGTGGGCACACTTTTCCAAGTCTTAACGGCAATATATTAAATTGACCATAGGAATATAAATAACCAGCCAGCAACTTGAAAAAAAAAAAAAAAACGTAGTAGTAAATTATTGCAAGCATTAGGATGCAGCTTGGATCTATTTTATTTAATATAAAAAAATTTTAGATGTTGTTAATATTTTTTTAATAAAAAAAATAAACTATGTTAGGATTATTCTTGATGTAACTTGGTTAACTTAAAAAGTTTAATAACTCAAATAATTAATAAAAAAATAATTTAATAAAAAATAATTCAATTTAAATAATGCTTTGTAAAATGATAAATAATAAAAACACTAATTATTTTAGTTTTCGTTGTAACAGTAATAAAAAATTCAATAGCATTTCCAAGTATCATGGTTTGCATTAAAGAAAAGGCAGTCAATAAGCGTGTTATATATAATAATGTTCAATCGTGTTTTTTTTTTATTTTACAATTTATTTTTCAAAGTATTTTTTAAATTGTTTTTTACTTAAAAAAACATCAAATTAATAATTTTTAAGTATTTTTTAAAATAATTTTGATATATATATATATATATATTATAATACATCTTTAATTAAAAAACACTTTTAAAAAACAGACTACTCTGATAATAAACACAAGTTCTACGCCACCATCATTTACAGGATAAGAACCTTGAAAACGATTCGTGAATCTAGTTTTTTAGCTCAGATGTTTTTTTATATACAGAAATATACTTCAAAAAATCAAACACGTAGATTTGATTTTTGTGTGTTTGAGAGTGTTCTCTTTTTGCTTTTCAGTGCTTTGAAAAAGTGTTTATTCATAAAGTGTTTTATGATGTAATTATATTAAAAATAAATAAATAATTTGAAAACAATTCTATATATATTTTCAAATGAAAAGCTCAAGTCCGGTTTTTTTGTCTTTTTTTACTATTATTTTGTTTTAAAATTATTTATTTTCATTGTATTTTTTTTTCATATTATTTGAATTATTCAAGTTTATTAATAAACACAATTGAATCAATAACTTATTTTTTTTAAAAAAAAGAAGCTTCCCTCATCTTAGTATTTTTTTTATATTTAAAAAAAAAATCTAGGTGAACCAGTGAGATATTGAGAGCTCCTAATTTAATTCAAAGCTAAGCTAATGGGAATTCTACATGGTCAATTAAACTATTAGCGAAGGGAAAAATCTCAAATGTACACCTCTACTATTAAGATAATCTCCATTATATATTTTATTTTTTTATATTAATTACGTCATCGTAATAATTTTATATTTCAATTGTATCATTTTATTAAATATAATTAACGATATGTGGAATCGAAATTTGTGAGAACTCTTAAATAATTGGATGATAAATATGAAATTTCTCATAAATTATAGATAAGAAATGCATATAAATAAAACAAGTTAAGGATACATAAACCATTAACCGATGTTAGATTTTACTTGATTGGGGAAAAGAAATTAAGATATTCAAGTGATGACAGTTCTATATATAATTAACTTGATCTTTCAGCAAAGGATGGTCGAAAGCAGGCTGTTTATGTAGATCCACGCAGTCGTAAATGTTCCCATGTAGTCTGCTACAACATTTTTTTCATGTGATCAAGCTTCTTCTTCCTCTTCCTCCTCATCCTCGTCCTCCTTCTCCTCGTCCTCCTCCTATTATTATTATTATTATTATTATTATTATTATTATTACTGCTACAATTACATCAAATTGCTTACAATCTTAAGCCTCTAGTTAACAAAAGGCAGGGAAAAAAAACCGAGAAAATGTCTAAAATGCTGAAAATTGAATGGTGCTATGTACCTTTGATGGAAATGACAACTACCTTCTTCAAAATAAGAGCTCAGATTGACATCTGATATTCTCTCCAAAGTTTCTACGGAAGACAAGGATGATTGAAAATGAAAGATGAAAAATGACATTTAATTAATTATGAGTGGACACGAAGGATAATTGAAAATGAAAGATGAAAAATGACACATCTAAGCACTTTGTAAGTGCCCATGAATGGGATTTACTTAATTAGGAGACCCCCTAGGCCCCCCCACCCTCTCCACTACAAGTATACATAGCTCAAGCCTCAATGCCTAACGTACAGTAATGACAAGCATATCATCTATAAGGGTAAAATTATAAAAATACTATTTCAATTAATAATATTCTTCCTCGACAAACTACAATAGAATCCCGTATATATATAGTTTTGGTTAATTTATGAGGGCGTTTTTATGGCGTTAATTAATAAATGAGTACAAAGTTTATATCCTCTTCGACGTCTTAAAAGTCTATAAATTTTGTGACTTTTTCTTTTTAGGACTATAGCCTCTACTTCAATCGCCATTTCACTTTAAATGATCTCTGTCCTCCATTTAGTCCTTGATCATGTCTACCAACCCTTCATGTCCTAATATGGTAATATAGAGATTTTTTTTTTTTTTTGTGGTTGCTGTAGTTAACATGTTAACTAGATATTTAGTCGAACCCATGCACAGAGCTAGATACTAGGTTTATGAAGGTCAATTGCTATTCATATTTTTATTTTCTTAATAGGTTTCGAGTTCGCACCTTTCTATTTGAAACAAAAAACAAAAATAACAAACAACATAAGAAAATTACTTTCACAAAAAGAAATAAAAACGACAAGGGAGTGTGTGTTGCAAATTCATAGTCCACTTGATCCAATCAACTTGGTTAGACCAAAGGTGATGGCCATAGCCAGCCATCCTCCTATCAAAACCCTAAGTGATGACTTAACAGCCGGTGCTTTGCCCAGCACAGCCCCTAACCACCCGAAGATCATCAAAGCCAATGTTACTGCCGCAACCACAACTCCTATCCTCACCTTGTACTCCCTTATGAAGGAAGCAGCTAGCAATGGCACTAACGCACCAACTGAAAAGGCAAGAGCTGAAGCTGCAGCTGCCAGCAATGGGTTTGGCAAACTCTCATTCTCTCCCTCTTCTTTTTCTTCCGTGTCTTTTCTTTGTCTGTCTCTTGTCATTTGAGCCAACTCAATATCTAGTTGTGAGTGGACAGACACAAACTCACCTATTGCCATGCTACAAGCCCCAGCTACCAAACCGGCAAACCCAGTCAGTATCATGGCCTTAATGTCTTGTTTCACGGCCCCCACCCCCATCATCAATGATGCGGTGGAGACCAAACCATCATTGGCTCCGAGCACTGCAGCTCGTAGCCATTGTGCTCGTTTTGAGTAGTCAAAGTCCTCGGTTCCAATCTCTAAAGCTGCTTGTTGCTCAACATCACTAGCAGGGAGAGCAAATTTGGCATCATTGAGGGATGTTTGGTTGCTAGCCATGGAAGAAAAGTAGAATGAAAATGATGAAGATTTTAGTAGAATAATCAGATAGGAAAGAGGAGAAGGTTGGAGAAGTGTGGAGGACACACGCCATGAATTAAGAGTGGTATATATAAAGGAAAATCTTTGCTATTGTGGAAGGCAAGGCAAAAGTGGTGAATGTCCACTAACAAAAGAAAATGCTTTAATCTAACAGAAGATTATTGTAGTTGCCAATTAAATATATTCTCACAACTATGGGTTATGTTAGTACGTATATATTTCAGGAAAACGTATGGCAATGCTATACCATACTTAATATATTAGTAATTCTTTAGAAAAAAGAAATTACCAGAAAAATTAAATTACCAGTAAGAGATATTTGCTGAAGCTTTCATAAAAAAATTGAAAAAGAAAATTGAACTTCATATATAATTGGTCGATCATATAAAGTAATTTGATGTATTATATAGTTTCCATTTATAGTACTATATTAATGGTTGCGATTTTCTCGTATAAAGTAATTTGACGTATTGCCCTCAATGGCCTTCAAAGTATATCCTTATATATCACCATAACCGGATCTCATCGATATCAAGCAAGGAAAAATGCATGTGCCCTAAGAACCACCATGTACGGAACTATATAAGACTCAATGCCCGTGACTCGTGAAAAAATTTAAATAAAAGAAAGAAGATCTTGATTCAAGATTAATCATAAACTGTACTCGTGAAAGAAGGATAAGGAAAAAGATTAAAGAAAATAAATAACAAATTAATTATATCTCAAAAAATTCAAATAGATTAGAAACAAGATAAAATTTATATGTTGAATAATCGGTTAATTTTTTTATTCAAATATTTTTAGTTAAGATAGCTAGTGCTTGGTGTCTTATAAGATAAATTAGATGATATCTATAAAATATCTCTTTTGATAAATTTAAGGATTTTTTAATGTTTAAGTAACTATTTTTAGAAAAAAAAAATACAATAATATTTTAGAGAGATAAACTCTAAAATATAAATGCTAAAAAAATAAAAAATAAAAAAATTTGAACCTTAAACCTTGTGAATTTATAGAGTATTTATAGCTAATAAGTTTTATCATTTTATGAAGAGAAGGGCCTAAAAGGTTATTTAACTTCTATAAACTGATATAATATTTTGAGTTGTATTTTATTTAAAATAATATGTATTGAATTAATATAAATTATTAAATAACCTGTATAAAATATTAAAAAAAATTGATTGTTGAGTACAAATAATGTTAATGACTTGACTTGGATTTAAAACTTTAATCTGAATGAGTTCTCTCTTTATTACTTTAATTATTTTATTTTAATTATTTTATTGAGATATTTATATTCATAAAAAAATGATATAATTTTTAATATTATTTTAATTTGTGCATTTGATGCATGCAGATAAAGGATTTCAGATAAATTTTTTGATAAGTTTAATTTTTATTTTTTAATAATCTTTTATTTTTAAATTAATAGTTGAATAGTCTTAATTAAAGATGAGACGACCAAAAAAGAGCATAATTCACAGAAACAAAACATCTTTAATTAAAAAAAGGTAAGGTGCTTATGAAAAACAATTGGATAGCCTTTTAACTTATTGTAACATTTTTATAAAGCGACATTTATCTTGATTAAGGCGACTGACTCATCCTGAACGCTGTTTCGTGACTTTTGTCTCATGCCTCTAAGTTCGATCTCTAGCTAGTTTAATTATTGCTATTCCCTTTCTTTTTTTAGGTTATGACCCACCAATATTAAATGTCTGTATTATTTTAGGGGAAAGGCTACTGGCACAGCCTTTTTAATATGTATATTTTGCACATGGAATACCCAAATGGTCCCTGTACCCTAAAAACTGAACAATTGTAGGTAGTCCTCTTAACAAAATTTTATTTACTATGATTATTATTAATTGAAACCAAGATATCTATCGTTGGGATATCTAGATAATTGTAAAGAAATCATAAATTTTTTTATAGTAATCAAAAATACTAATTGGTATTTAATTTGTAAGAAGCTGGTTATATTAAAAAAAAGATAAAAATTATCTTAAAATATTTGATTTTAATTAAAATAATATATGTTGTTTATACATGCTAATATTTCATCTAAACTAAATACATATATTTATTAGGATTAGAAACTCATAGAATAATAATTTGAAATTTATACTTGACAACAAAGTCTAATCCTCTTTTATTATTATTATTATTATTATTATAGAGCAAGATTTCAAATAACTGGGGTGTTGATTTATTACTTTTCATTATCCAATTTATACTAACTCTCCACAACAATGATAACAATTTTTTATCACATAACATAACAAATATTCATGAATGTAACAAGATCTTTTAAGAAATTTTAAAGTAGAAATGAATAATCCCCATTATAGATTTTTGGCATATGAAAATCAGATTGCAAGAACCAATTAAAGCGAACCCTTCATCACAAGCATCATCTACACACAACCCATATTGTAAAAAGCCATGCCTAATCGCCAATCCGAACAAGTTTTCTTTTGGCAAGTGAATTCTTTGTTTGTTTAGGGAGCCAAACAAAAGAGAAGAAAACGACAATATGGCATTGAAGCATTCGATGTAATGGTGATCTTGTAATTTCCTTTCGTTATAACAATTTTTTCTTGTTCTGTAAACAGACGAGGGAGGTTCAGGTAGAGAAAAGGTCAAGATGAGTAGAATGTGAATAATTCTCTGAGTAGACGTGCAAAGAGGAGAGGAGAGGAGAGAGGGTAGAAGGGGAAAAAAGAAGTTGTGCATTTGTTTAAAATATTAAAAGAGTTAACTTTTCTTTTCAAGTTTTATCCAATTCGTGTTTGGAATCCATAACCCAAAGGAGGCTAAGAACATAATGGAAGATCATGGGGTCCAAAAATCATAAATCCTATCCAAAATTGTCACCACTTGAAAAGGAAAAAAAAAGTTTGCTTCATCAATTGTCCCTAAATGCGATATTACACCAAGTAAGATGAATTCAATAGTTGTAATAAATCATACTCGTAGACAAGATCTCTTCCTAGCACGTAACATGTAACATACTAAAAAAGAAAAAAGAAAAAACAATGGATTGCTGAATCGGAGAGCACTCTGTAGAGCAGAAAGATACAAGTGATAATATTAGCTAATGAAAGGAGTGTGCATTCCACACGAATGCCACCTTCTCTCATTGTTTTATTAATCAATAAAAAACTGCTCTTATTGGGAGTCTCATCGTTGTCCCTTTTCAACGTTCCACTGAAGCAGATTCCTGCTATCATTGTGCTTTCCATCTTCTTCAATGGACTTTTATCCGTAACTATTTTATTGGCTTTTGCCTATATATCTTCATGAAGAAGGGGCCTCTGAGCAATAAAAACGCAGCAACGAAAGGTCCCGTCAATGGATCCTTTTGTAGCGTTGCAGTCCTCGGTCAATATTGTATGATCAGCGCGTTTCTGGGAAAAAAGCATAAGAATCTCTGCCTTTTGATAAAATTACTACTACAAAATGTCGTAAATCAGTACCCCGGATGGATAATGTCTGCCATTAAAAATCCTACACAACTTTTTCGGTGGGGGGAGAACTCTTAAAGAGCCATACGTGGTAGATTTCTCAGATATCTTCAATTAAGCCCGCTAAATAAATATTCCTGGTGCACAATTAATTGGAGTTAAGATTTTGAAATTTGTACTCTATATTTATTAAATTTGTATCATTCTACTTAACTAGGAGCACTGGGTAATTAACCAAAAAACAAAAAAAAAATCTTCTTTTTAATTTTGGGGTAATATGCCTAATCAGTACTGTATTTTGGACATAAAAAACAAGAAGCCCTTCGTGTGGGCATTTTTGGCTACATTTGTGGCATGATGTGTAGCATTAACAAATGATGGTGAGAAATACCAAGAGTTATAGCTTAACTAGTTGAATTTAAAATTTATTTTTTTAAAATAATTAGTTTAAATTTATAAATAATAAGGTCATTAAAGATATTAAAAAATAATATAAATTATATTTTAAAATTTTATTTAATAATTTAAGTTATTAGGTTAAGATAATTTTTTTATAAAAAACTTATATAATTATTAACTTAGAATTAATTAAGTTAAAGTCTGGATATTTATATTAATAAAAAATAAAAAAAACAAATAAATGATAGTGAGACGAGAATAGAGCCGACATCATGTTCGATTTGGACAGATCAAATAACAGTACTTCCTTGTCTTCCATGGCATCAAAAGAGTGCGATGTGGGCATCCATTACCTCTGAAAAGCCCAGATCAGACAGTGGTGTGTTTTACATGATAGACCTGAATGTATATCTTGTCTGGTTGGTTTTGGGATCCTTGGGAATTACTGTTACCAGTGACTACTCGTGTGTCTAAGCGGTCAAAGTGATGAACCCGTGCGGGTTTGAATCCTGTTTGCCCAATCTTCTTCCTTTTCATTCTGTTTTTGAACATTTTGATAAATTAAGCCGGGTTGATACAAATCCCTTTAACTTATTATTAAATAAGAAATTATTTCAAAATATATAAAGTTGGATAAAGACTTTCTTATTTTAATGATAATATTAAACAGTTATCCATGACCTTGGCATTATTTTTTACATTTAAAAATTTTGATCCGACGAAGAGGAACCTAGTACACACTAAATTGATACGAGACTGGTAGCTTGGAAGTTGGAACGACTGAACGAGCTGCGTCTTTGGGGGGACAAGTCTAGGATGCTCTATGTCTCAAGCCATAAAATCCCAATAATTGAGAGATGAAAAGCACCCGTGTCTATTTTCATCCCACCAGACGCTTCGCTTGCTTTTTGAATAAAAAAATATGTCCGATTCTGCGCGGAGCTGAATTGTTTGCTGGCTCTGAAGACAACTGGATGGGTAACTAGGCCCAGGTTTTGAGGAGTCCCAGTAAGCCTTGAAAAAACAAACGGCACAATACAATTGGAACCAGCCCAAGAGTGGCAAAATCTTCTCTTTTTTAAATTAATTGTATTCTCTAAGTTAAGACTTATTTGATTGGAATATAAATGTTGCTTCCCATAAATCATATATTATCTCCATG